GCCGTCATTAAGTGTCATTTAAAACAAACTGCATCTGCGTCTCTGCTGGAGGCCTTTCAGTCCAAACGAGACACAATTTGGGAAATGTTTTCCAGCTTGGAGGACAAATTAGGTCCAGTTAGAACAAAACAAAGAAAAAAAGGCCCGCGGCTCGGGTTTCTGTGGGTTCAGAACCTGGTCCCGCTTCATGTCCAGAGCTGCTCTGACCAGACGGTCACAGCTCAGGTCATCAGACCAGCGGAGTTCAGAACGTTCACTTCTGATGCTACAATCAAATCAATTTATGATTCTCCTTAATAATTTTATTCAGTTTAACAGAAATCTGTACATTTAATAAAAACTAAAACGTCAAAGGTTCATGTCTTCAACCAGGATGGGCTCAGGTACACCTGGGATTGTTCTGGACCCCGCAGGAACACTGACTGGAACCCAGTCCAACCACAGTCCCCATCTGATCCAAGTAGGGGGGTCTGCAGTACATGTTGTCCTGCGGGCGGAGTTTTCCCTCCCCATGATTCGAGGTCTTGATGTGGGCGGAGTTTTCCATACCCGTGATTGGCGGAGTTGGTGTGGGCGGAGTTGGCCCTGTCCGTGATTGGCAGATGTCTTGATGTGGGCGGAGTTTTCTCTAACCTTGACTGGCGGAGTGTGTGTAGGTGGAGTTTTCCCTACCCATGATTGATGGAGTTTTCCTTACCCGTGATTGGCAGACATCTTGATGTGGGTGGAGTTTTCCCTTCCCATGATTGGAGGTCTTGATATGGGCGGAGCTTTCCCTACCCGTGATTGGTGGAGCTGGTGTGGGCGGAGTTTTCCCTGCCTGTGATTGGCAGACATCTTGATGTGGGCGGAGTTTTCCCTACCCGTGATTGGCAGAAGTCTTGATATGGGCGGAGTTTTCCATACCCATGATTGGAGGTCTTGATATGGGCGGAGCTTTCCCTACCCGTGATTGGTGGAGCTGGTGTGGGCGGAGTTGCCCCTGCTCATGATTGGCAGAAGTCTTGATATGGGCGAAGTTTTCCATACCCGTGATTGGAGGTCTTGATATGGCGGAGTTTTCCCTACCCATAACTGGCAGAGTTTGTGTGGGCGGAGTTGCCCCTGCTCATGATTGGCGGAGTTGGTGTGGGCGGAGTTAGCCCTAATCATGTCTGGTGGAAGTCTTAATGTGGGCGGAGTTGGCTCTAATTGTGATTGGTCAGATTGACTTGTCTTGTTGGACAACTTAGTTAAATATTCTGATTTACTGACTGTCTGTACAGATTACAACAGAACAATGACTCAAATAAAATTATTGTAAACATAAAAACACTTTATTGACTTCTAATTTCATGCAGCACCTTCCTGTCTCAAACTATGACTAAAATTAATCCCTATATTTAAAGATATATGTGTTTCCTGCCCGACACAAACTGCCCTCCAGCTTCTTCAGACCCCAAAGTCAATCTGACCAATCAGATCTTGGGCCAGCTACACCCACAAAGTGAGAAACACCTGCTTAGTGACTGCAGAGACCCCCTTCTCATCTGATCGGACTGAGAGGATCCAGAACCAGGTCTGAATATTCCTGAGCCTGTACTACCACATGTAGTACTCACACTTGTAGCAGTACTCACAGATGTAGTAGTACTCGTGTCCCGGCCTGAACTCGAAGCCCAGGCTGAAGGGCGTGAAGAGCTGGAACTTCTCGGAGAACTTGAGGGGTCCGCTGGGACTCTGCGGCCGGTTGCACTCCCAGCGCTTGAAGCCGTTCCTGTAGTGGTTGCAGGTCATGTAGCCGTCGTAGTTCACCATGTACAGCACGTAGTGCTCCATGCGCTCCGCTAGCTCCGCCCCCTCGTAGTGAGGACAGTAGATGTCCAGGTAGTCGTTGATGGCCACCTCCACCGTGTAGTCGCCCCGGAAGAACCTGAGGATGAAAACCAGGAGATTTCTGCTTCATGTAAAGAAACTAACAAAACTTTAACAAAGAGTCATTTTGAAACAGTCAATGAAAGAAAACTGGATAAATTAGATTTGAGATAGATTATTTAGCTGCTCTTTTACGGATTTTATCTCTAACATCTGTTCAGCTGATTTTAGCCACTATTTGGCTGCTTTTAGTTGCTGTTTGGCTACTTTTAGCTTCTGTTTTATTGCTTTTAGCTACTGCTCCACTTAATATAAATTTCTCATTTTCTGCTTTTAGCAACAGTTCTAATGCTTTTAGCTAATGTTTAGCTACTTAAGGATTTTAGATGGTGTTTATCTGCTTTTAGCTAATAACACTGCATTGTAACTTATTTTTAGCTATTAGCAACTTTTTCGCTACATTTAGCTATTAGTCTGTTTCTTTTAGCTACTGTTCTACTACCTTTAGTTTCTTTTTTCTGCTTTTAGCAACTGTTCTTTTAGCTAGTCCTCAGCTACATTTAGCTTATAAGAAGTGATCTGCCTCCTTTAGCTGTTCTTTTACTTTTACCTTCTGTTTTTTTGGCTATTAGCAACTATTTAGTTACTTTCGGCTGTTAGTCTGATGCTTTTAGCTACTATTCTAATGCTTTGAGCTAATGTTTAGCCACTTAAGGTTTTTAGATAGTGTTTAGCTGCTTTTAGCTAATAACACTGCATAGTAACTTGTTTTTCTTAGCTATTAGCAACTGTTTTGCTACATTTAGCTATTTGTCTGTTGCTTTTAAATTCTGTTGTGCATCTAATGGCTAGAGTTCAGTCACTTTTAACTCCTGCTCTGCTGCCTTTAGCTATTGTTCAGCTACCGTTAGCCTCTGCATCTGTAAAAGTGACTGAGGTTGATTATTGTAGCGGCCATCTTAATCTGTGTTTTTCATGACATAAACGTAAGTGTAGCAAACCGGCGGTGGGCAGTAATGTCCTGTCAGGCCCTGCCTGCAGCCGGTTGTTTAGTAGGAGGATAAAAAGCCGAAATGAAGCTTTCCCCTGTTTCGGCTGATCTGCTCTTTCCCTGCAAGTTCACCAGCTCCAACTCCAGAACTCAACACATGGAAACCATTGATCACTGCCTCCGTGTGTGTGTGTGTGTGTGTGTGCATGTGTGTGTTTTCCTCCAAACCCCCGAGAGGCATAAATTAATCAAAGCTGACCATTTATCAGAACGTTCGGCTGTTTACAGAAGGAAGATGTGACTCACAGCTGGACCCACTTCCTGCCTGCCGCCGCCTCTCAGAACCGCTCAGAATCACTGCGAGCCAAAGTTCGGCTGTTTACGTGATGAGAGGCTGAGACATTGGGAACCAAGTCAAAAACTGGAACTGGTCATCTCAACTAGAAATTAAACTTTTTATCATCTCAGTGAGAGGACGCCACTTTAGCTACTCTGTTTTTGGCTTTTAGCAAACAGTTAGCTAATATTTTGCTACTTTTAGCTAATTATGTAGCTACCAATCTGCAACTTTAAGCTGGCATTTTTAACTTTTAGCTTTTTGTTGGCCTTTGCTTTTTTAATTAACCTTAAGCCACAAACTCTTTGCTGTTTTAGCTCATGTTCTGCTACTTTTAGTTTCTCTACTACRGCCTTTAAACTTTAACCTTTAACATTTTGCTACATTTTAGCAAATCTTTGGTCACCTTTAGCTAAGTTTTTGGCAGTTTTAGCTACTTTTAATTAGTATTTTGTTACTCTGGGTAGTTTTAGTTTGTTGCTACTCCTTTGATACTTTAGCTAACCCTTTCTTATTTTAGCTTTAGCTTCTTGATACTTTAGCTAACCCTTTCTTATTTTAGCTTTAGCTTCTTGATACTTTAGCTAACCCTTTCTTATTTTAGCTTTAGCTTCTTGATACTTTAGCTAACCCTTTAGCTACCAATCTGGTACTTTTATTCTACTATATGTAGCCTTTTGCTACATTTTAGCTAAACCTTGGTCAATTTTAGCAAAGTTTTTGCCAGTTTTAGTTACTTTTAGTTAATGTTTGTTACTGTTTAGCCAGTTCTACTCTGTTACCAACCATTTGATACTTTAGCTCATCTTGTTGCTAGCCTTTTGCTACATTTCAGCTAATCTTTGGTCCCTTTTAGCAAAGTTTTTGGCAGTTTTAGCTACTTTTAGTTGTTTGTTACTTTTCTGTTAGTTCTGTTACCAACCGTTTGATACTTCAGCTCATCTTGTTGCTAGCCTTTTGCTACATTTTAGCTAATCTTTGATCCCTTTTAGCAACGTTTTTGGCAGTTTTAGCTACTTTTAGTTAATGTTACTGTTCTGTTAGTTCTACTCTGTTACCAACCGTTTGATACTTTAGCTCATCTTGTTGCTAGCCTTTTGCTACTTTTAACTTTTAGTCTGACTTTTCCTACTGTCACAGTTTAGCTCGTGTTCTGCTTCTTTTCTTTTTAACTCAGTTTTAGCTTCTTCAGCTGATTTCAGCGGTCATTCGGCTCTTTCAGGATGATTTTTCTGATAAATTAGTTAAAGTTTCTCAGTTTCATCTTCAACAAGAAGTTTCTTTGTTTGCTGACGAGTTGAACTGTTGAACTCCAGAGAGACAGAAACTAATGAGGCCTACACACACACACACACACACACACACACACACACACACACACACACACACACGTCTGGAGCCGAGACTCCGCCCATCTGGGACTCATTGTGAGGGGAACTCAGCGCTCCCCTGGCAGCGGGTTGGTTCCTGCAGAGCGGCGGGAGACGAGACCCTCAGAGTTTTATCAGATGGCTGCGAACCTGAAACTCATCTAAAGTTCGGCTCTTAACTCTGATCCTAAAGAGATGTAACACTACAACGTTTTAGATAACTTATGTCAACTTATAAAGGTTTTTTTGTCTAAATTACTAATAAAAGTTATATTTTTGATGAATTTGTTAGAATTACAGTAGGTACACACCTAAAAGAGGCTTCCTGTTGATTTTTTAAATTCCATCTTTAAAGTAGATGTCTTTAAAATTTTCACAAGATAGCACAAGTTAAATGTTAGTGTGACAGGGCCATAAACTCTTCGTATTTCCACCARGTTTTCTACAATTTCTACATCCAATCGTACACCAGAAGTGCCCAKAGGGGGGTCCGCGGTTGGCCAAAATTGGCCCGCCGAGCCATTRGATTTGGCCCACCAGCAGTTGTCCTGGTTACTAGATTGTAATTATGTTAAGATTAAATTTAAAATARAAGTAACTACAAGAGACATTTAGATTAAAGTCCATATTTAGATTTGCACACCTTATAAGACCACATATACTCAAAATTTAAATTATGAAAAGTCCCATGAGTCTTTGCTGCCTGAGCATATATTACATTTTCTCCACATCCATGTCTCCATGTGCTGAAAAACAAACAAACAAACAAAAGAATGTGGGCATCCACACTGGCTASCTTAATCATAAAAAATAAAACAACTTTACTTAAGACGTATTTGCATTTCTTATATTATTTCATTTGGCCCGCGGCCCCCAGAMTGATTTTAGTTTGGTCCCTCTCAGGGAAAATGTTTGGGCAGTCCTGTCTTACACCAAACGTGTCTCGTTGCTGTAGGACTGATGGTTTCACTCAAATCCCCCCAAAATACAGCATGAACGCCCAAACTCTCATCGACTTCCTCTAGATGTCCTCATTTGTGCATATACAGCGGGTAAAATAAGTGTTGAACACGTCACCATTTTTCTCAGTAAATATATTACTAGAGGTGCTAATGACATGAAATTTTCACCAGATGTTGGTAACACCCAAGTGATCCAT